CCAGGTCGACGCGTGGCACGTTTGCTCTGCTCGACGAGGATTTGCAGAAGACCGACGCCACCATAGAGCTCTACGTACGCATCAGTTACTTGGGCAACTGTATCATAACCGAGATCCACTCGCCTGTCGGCATAGAAAAGGCGTTCTACGCACGCGAGGAAACCGACGATCGTTACCGGTATCAATTTCGGCAACTCACCACCATGGACCTCGAGTCGTTCTGCTGGGGTAGCTTGACGATCATCCCGCCCCTTTGTCCCGACAAGTTGATCTGTCGATGCAAAGCTAAAGAAAGACATCTCGAGAGAGAGGCACAGACGACGCAGACGAGAAAGTGTAAAACACGCAAGCGCGACGATTTCCGGAGCAAATTGGCTCGCGTACAACAACTATTGGCTCTAATGAAAGAGACGAGGAAGAATCGTCCGGACATCGTGCCGTCCGCAGAAACGAGGAAGAAAGTTTGTCTACCGTCGCCGCCGCCGCCGCCGCCGCCGTGTGTCTGCCCCACAATGTGTCCACCTGTCTGCGTTTACACTATGCCCTCCGTTTGTCCCTATCGGCCGACGACCGTTTACTGTCCACCGTGAACGAACGCCGTCCTCGCCAGCGGTCCACAGCGTGCAGAGAATTTGCATTTGCGTACGTCGATCGCGGCGCGATCGTTCCGTGAGGATCCTCCCCGAAAGATCCGGAGGCGTTACGCCGCGAGCCCAAGTTTCACCATCGTTTCATTCACCAGCCAGAGGCTTCTCCTCTATCCTTTTCCCGAGGAAATCACGGAGGCTGCGTCTCCATCGTGTTTTACGATCCATTCGTCGCTCACACGCGATTGGACGATTCCCCAAATTGCCGCTACGAAATTTTATGGCCGAGACGAGGTTTCTACCAGTGCAGCCGAGAGAGAAGTCGCGCGCGCGTTTCCTCGGCTCGCTCCGATTACTTATTCCGTTCACAGGGGCCGAATAGACGGCGGGACAGACGCGGGGACAGGGAACGAAAAAAGAAATCCTCTCTGCACGCGTACGTTCCTCCCTTTGTGTATCATCGATTTCCTTGGAATACGTAGAATAATCCGGTGCCAAGAGAGAGACAGAGAGAGAGAGAGAGAGAGA